AACCACCGAATTAGATGATTTCTTTCTATTTTTGAGACAGAGTCTCACTGTGTCACCCTCAGTAGAGTGCTGTGACATCACAGCTCATAGCAACCTCAAACTCTTGGGTTTAAGTGATTCTCTTGCCTCAGCCTCCCAAGTAGGTGGGACTACAGGCGCCTGCCACAACACCTGGCTATTTTTTGGTTATAGTTGTCATTGTTGTTTGGCAGGCCCAGGCTGGATTCGAACCCGCCAGCCCGGTGTACGTGATTGGCGCCTTAGCCCTTGAGCTACAGGCGCCAAGCCAATATATTCTTCTGAGATATGTCTTTTACTTCCATTTTTCCTTTTCCTTTTTTTTGTAGTGCCTTTGCCTCCCAAAACACTGGGATTCTAAGTCTGAGCCACCACATCCAGCGTTTTACATCCATTATTTAAGTTCTCGTTTTGTGTACAATTGATTTCTAAGACCAGGCCTGATGGCTCACACCTGTAATCCTAGCACTCCAGGAGACAGAGGCAGGTGGATTGCCTGAGCTCAGGAGTTCCAGACCAACCAGAGCAAAGCAAGACCTCCATCTCTAAAAATAGATGGGCGTTGTGGCAGGCACCTGCACTCCCAGCTACTTGGGAGGCTGAGGCAAGAAAATCACTTGAGCCCAAGAGTTGAGGTTGCTGTGAGCTATAACACCACAGCACTCTACCAAGGGGTGACAAAGAGAAACTCTGTCTCAGAAAAAAAAAAAAGAATTGATTTATACATGCATGTAATGTGAAGTAGAAAATCCAATTTCATTTTTACCCACATGAATAAGTTTCTAGTTCCGTTTTACTGGACTGCATTCTTTTAAAATAAGCTTTTAGAAAGAAATTTTAGTTTCCTGTATTTGTCAAGCTTCTTTTTTTCCTGCTTTTATATTATCCACCCAAGTCAATATATAGCAAGATTAGAGTATTACAAATCACTGTTGGTGCAATTATTTTCTCCCAGTCTGAAAAAACCTTGATACCCACAGTTCATAGCCCAACTCTCTGAGCAACTGCTCCAAAGAGAAGAATTTTTTTGCCCACTTATTGTCTCCCAAAAAAGCAAAAATGATGGGTAGCAGTAATATCCAGTCCTAACTCTATTTCCTACTTGAGGTAGACTCAATGCATCGTTTACAGAGGACATGAAAATCCAGGCCCACTAATGGACAGCTTAGAATTAGAACTAATCTTATTCTAATTCTAAAAGAATTCTAAAAATTATTCTAAAAGAATAAGATAAACATAAAAATCTAACCTATTCAAAATCTAAGACAATGAGGTGTCAAAAAAATAAAAACCATTTCTTATTCAGCAGTGATAACAAATTAGAAAATATAATAGGGGCTCGGCGCCTGTGGCTCAAGTGGCTAAGGTGCCAGCCACATACACCTAAGGCGGCGGGTTTGAATCCAGCCCAGGCCCACCAAACAACAATGATGGCTGCAACAACAACAACAAAAAATAGCCAGGCGTTGTGGCAGGCGCCTGTGGTCCCAGCTACTTGGGAGGCGGAGGCAGACTTGGGAGGTGGAGGAGACTCGCTTGAGCCCAGGAGTTGGAGGTTGCTGTGAGCTGTGATGCCACAGCACTCTACCCAGGGGGAAAGCTAGAGGCTCTGTCAAAAAAAAAAAAAAAAAAAAGAAAAGAAAAAAAATATATGTAATAGGAAAAACTCCCTTTATAATACACAAAAAGCTACAAAGTACATAAGAACAAATCAAACAAGAAATATGTAAAAACTATGTATTTTTAAATTGTTAGTCTTTCCTGAAGGACATAAAAGAATAAAGAAATAAATTGTATTCATGGATGACAAAGACTTACTGTTGTAAAAATATCAGTTCACCATTAGATCGCTCAGTAATTTAGTGTGAGAGAATTTTCACCCAAGAGAATTTTTACAGAATTTGACATGCTGATTCTGAAATTCACTACAACAGACAATGCACAGGAATAGCTAGAAAACAATGAAACATACCCTATTAAATCATGTTA